TCCTAGTTTCACCTGTTTGCCCTTCCCAGCATCCCCAGTGTGTAGACTATCATGGCTGTCTGTTATAGTAGTAATATGAGTTTGTCTTACTGATTCACATCTCAATATCTTCCGCCTGGATTGGAGAAATTCTGGAATTTCTTTGAAATATTTGTTCTCCATGAGGTTTTCAGAAGACTTTTCTTTCCATTCTTCTCCATAAAGTGCTGACAGCTTTTCAACAGCATCACGATAATCATCATCGTCTTCCTTTTCCTGATTTTCATTATTGTCAAGAAGCTGATGAAATGACCACAACTCATCTTTCCACTCCTACAAAAATAGATGACAAGCCATTTATTGAGGCATGTACCCAGCCTTAAGCCCCAAGAACTGCACTATAACAAATGATTTAGTTTTAAGTACAAATCAAACTTTGAGAATTCATTTTACCTCCTTTGTGATGAACTCAATTTCTGCTTCATACTTGTTGTGTGTGTTGGCTTCCACTTTGATCATGACTGAGGTGCAGGCATTGATGCTTCCTGAAGGTAAAAGATTCTTCTCTTCAATTATGGCATTTATCAAAGAGCTCTTTCCAGCCCCGGTTTTACCAAAGACACCAACCAGCTCCCTCTTGTCTGTCTCCAAATCACTGATCTTTTTCCTGATGAACGAGATTTTAAATATGGGTTAATTGATTCAATCATGAAAACTTTTTTATGCATGCTTTAAAAAAGAGAGTTTCAAAGAGAGTTATAATCATGGTAGTGATCATCAAATGAAATATCACTAAATATTTTAGTTTTATACACATACACCACTAATTGTTTACTGTATGTTGTTTTGATCCGCATCTTCCTTTTTGTGTCAGTTAAAGTGAAAATGTTTCCCCCAAGAGTTGGTAGATAACAGGAACAGGAAAAAAAAATGTAGTCAAGTCACCAAAACCTCCTAAAAATATCAGTCTTTGTTGGTCTTAACTTGGATAGTTTTATTTTACTAATAAATCATTCTGTGATCTATAGTTGTACTGCTGTTAAGTCACAAGTATAATGTAAAATAGCTAAACAAAGAACCAACACACCAAATAGACTGACACAAGAAACTAATTGGTGAATATGGAACCAAACTATCATCTGGCTGAGTGGTGCGACACCAACAACCTGCTGCTTAACACCGAGAAGATCAAGGAGCTCATCGTGGACTACAGGAGGAATGCTGACCCACATCCACCCATCTACATTAAAGGGACGGCTGTGGATTATGTGAGCAGCTTCAAGCTCCTTGGAGTCCACATCTCCGAGGATCTCATCTGGACGACCAACTGCTCCAAGTTGGGCAAGAAGGCTCACCAGCGCCTCTTCTTACTGAGGACTCTGAGGAAGAACCACCTGTCCTCGGACATCCTGGTGAAATTCTACCGCTGCCCCATCGAGAGCATCCTGACTAACTGTATAACAGTCTGGTATGGGAACCTCTCTGCCTCGGACCGGAAGGCGTTGCAGAGGGTCGTGAAAACCGCCCAGCGCATCGGTGAAAGACCACTTCCTGCCATACAAGACATCTACAGGAAGGTGTCTGAAAAGGGCTGGGAAAATCATCAGAGGCCCCAGTCACCCAGCACAAGGACTCTTCGACTCCTGCCCTCTGGGAGGCGCTACATGAGCCACAGGACTAAGACCACCAGGTAGTGGAACAGCTTCTTCCCTACAGCTGTCAGAATCCTGAACTCTGACCCACATTAAACTCATGGACTGAACATACACACACCTACAACCACCTATAACTGAACACACACACACAATGGACAAAACAAACAAATGGCCAACTGTACCCTCATGCACAAAATAATAACATGGACTGGTTCAGGTGGTGGTTCACCAACCTTACAACCACTAGCACTTTATATAACCACAGTAGAAATTACCCACATATCTCACTGATCTGAACTGCACTACTGTAAATGCTGTATAGACAATCATTCTGTACAATACAATAATTATAGTTCTACAACTGTTTACAACTGTTTATTAATACTCACAATTGTATATCTACAATCAGTATAGTTCATATTTCATATTTCTGTATAGTTTTCATATTTTTAACCATATTTAAATCCTGTTCATACCCTGTACATAGTTTGTACACTCACTACAGCCTGTACATGCTTATAGTTATAGCATATTCATAAAATACCTTCATACCGTGTGCATTGTAACATACACATAATAGATCCATATTTTGTAATAGATT